CCTGTGACCTGCCCATCATCATCTCTGCTGTTTATCTCTGATCACCCTGTGACCTGCCCATCATCATCTCTGCTGTTTATCTCTGATCACCCTGTGACCTGCCCATCATCATCTCTGCTGTTTATCTCTGATCACCCTGTGACCTGCCCATCATCATCTCTGCTTTTTATCACTGACCGCCCTGTGACCTGCCCATCATGTCTGACCATCGTCAGGGTTCATTCCTCCATCTTTGATGGTGGTGAAGTCTTTCTAACATCTTTATTAAATGCTTTAATTAGCGGCCCTGTCAGCTGGTCATAGAACATCCTCTCATTGCTCTGCAGCTGCTCAGTCCTAACAGGCTCGGCTGCTGTCAGCCGCCATGTTGGTTCTGCTCTGCCGCAGTCATAACAAGCTAGCTACCTCCGGGGGGAAGGTGGGCGGCGGGGTTCTGTTGTTCCTCTTCCTTTTATTCCGCCTCTTCCTGCCTTGTCTTCCTCGCCTGGAACGCGCCTTTCTGGGTGATTTCTTCCCTTTACTCGCCAGGGAACCGGACCCATGTCTGTCCGCAGCAGTTTGGACCGAGTCCACCATGGCGGAGCTGACTATGAGCGGCCGCTCCAGAACCTTCTCTGCTCCATCACTGGCTTCTGTTCAATGATGTCGGTCAGATGCTCTCTCCTCAGCACCAACTGCAATATCTATGCCGCTATATGACGTCACCATTTTCATTTAAGGTCAACTTCCGGTCTAGAACCCAACCGAACCGAAAACTAAACACAGACTGTTTCAAAATAAAACGAGAGACAACCCATCAAGAAATCTGTTCTGATCTTTCCCACTCCTCTTATAAATAAATATCTCACATTCAACAAAAAAATAATAAGACAGCATATAAATTACTAAATTTTCCCTCTCCCAGTTAAGAGGAATTTATCTTTAAACATGTTTTCAGAAATTGAATTTATTAAGATCACAACCACATTTCCAGAGCTTTGTGGTTATGCTGCTATAGGCTTAGACTGCTGGAGGACATAGGAACCCCTTTTTTCATCATTCTGCTTGATTCTATCTCTATTCTCCTACTCTGCAATATCTGATAGTTCAATCTCTTATCTCTTGTTTATAGATGCTGGAGATCAGCCTGTTTTTCAGTGTAGTCCTGTTTCTCTGCCTGTGACTAACTGGATGTG